GCACAAGAAAATCGGATGAAATTCAATATAATATTTCTTACGAAAGTAAGTAACCGAATATTTAACCGAAACTGGTAAAGTGTTTAGTAGAAAATATTTGATAATTTTAAGCAAAATATAGATTTTTTGATTGTCTTTCTGAATATGCTATCTTTAAAGTTGGAAACCCTATCCGAAATTTTAATAAAATATATTTTTTTACTTGATAATTTTTAATAACATATAATTTTGTGATTATCTGAATGAATATATAATTTTTAAAGTTGGCAACCCTATCCGATATTTACCTTATATGGTAGATTTCTGTATGAAAATATTATCAATGCAAATTTCGGGTTGGGTAGCTAACTTAATAAGTTATATTTCGGATAGAGTTGCCAACTGTTAAAATTAATTTGTATATAATTAACAATTTATATTTCATAAAAAATATTTGCATTATCTTTATCACATATATTTCAAAATACACATTTCCAATGCAAAATTAATTGTGCAACAAAAAGTAAAATTAAAACATTTTTTTACAGTTGCCAAAGTGTTTCGGATTCAAAGCAATGGGGACACTTAGTGTAAAGTCTAGAAGGAATCACGACAACAGTGGTCTCTAAAATCGTCCTTTTTTATGCTGCCACACTGCTTGGTGTTGTGCCTTAGCTTTGTATAAGCTTTTTAGTAAAAAGTAAAAAATTAGTCTCAAATTTTCAATCATATAACGACTGCAAGTTTTTTTCAAAAAGCGTTCAAACAATGTTTTTTGAACATAGTGTCGCCTCTTCTTTACTAACTAACTACGCTAAGAATTTGCATAAAACTACAACAATACACTACTCAATGCTGCTATACTCAAATAACCTGATAACATAAAGGCCTGTTACTCCCATAAAACTCGAAATTCACCACACTGCTGATAAACTCATCAGCTGTTCTGCAAAAGAACGCCTAAAAAACAACCACCTTTGTGTGTATTGCATACTTCACGGTGTTTCTTTGTGCGAATCCGCTGTCTGCGCATGTGAATTACAAAGGGGCGATAAGGTTGATTTGAAAACTCGATTGATGTGAACTTCCTCATTTTTATATGTGTCAACCACCCTTCTGTTACCTCAGTCTCGCTGCAGCAACCATTCGGTGAAGTTCAAAAGCGTCGCGTTGCCATTATGCTGCGGCATACATAATTGAACATACAACTAAAAGCTTAACGAATGAGAGCGCATATTAATTCAACAAGTGTCGTGGTAAAAGTGCAAGTGCCTTGGCTGAAGAAAGTTAAGCGCTTGAAAACACATTTGGAAAAGGAAACGTGGTGTTTTGTGCGAAATAACAGAATTGTCGAGTGAGTGATGCCACAATATTTGGGGACTTACGTCAATAGTCTCTAGTGAGAGCGGGTGAGTCACACAAGTCAAAACAATAGTGGACTCCACTATTGGAGGCATGAGTGTGGGGTATTTAGTTTGCTCAGCTACTCATGCGAACAGGTTGTTTTGACTGGCAAGGAAGGTCACCAAAAATGTCCTTTTTTTGTGTTCTGTTAGAAGAGTGTGGTTGTCTAAAGTTCAAACTAGTTTTATAGGAAGCTAAAAAAATAATTTTTAATATTGTATTTATAATATTTTTTTTTTTTTTATAAAAAGTGATTTAATCGAAATAACCGAATTATGACTGGACTGAGCATATTTACTCAACATGTTTTTGCAACATGAATTTACTAACAAGTTCGGCATAAGTTCTTCATGTTATCAATTTAAGGAACAGAATAATTTTAAAGATACATGTACTATATGATGCATGTGCACGTATGTGCAACATCTCCTTTCGACATGTTTATTTCTCTCATGTACGCTCTTCCCCAGCACACCATAATTTGGCGCACACGTCCTTCTATCAGCTTGCCGTGACTTTTTGTTGTTGCTTACATTGTTGTTATTGTTATCATGTGCACTTTGTATGTATTTTGTATGCTGCCAACGAAAATGGCACAGCATACACAATCTGGCAACATTTTCTGTTGCAATATTTTCATTTGCTTTTCGCTTCATTCATTTCATTTAGCCTAGTCTACTTATTTGTTGTTTTTATATTTCGCTTTTGCATATCTTTTTAGTTTTGCATTTTTTTGCACAGATTCGCATTTTGTGCTATTTAATTTTTGGCTTAAGCCCAGGCTGGCTGCAGCATATATTTTTCGGCATTTTTCGTTTGTTCCGCAATTCCACGAAAAACGCTCGCTTTTCCAACGCTTTTTTTGGCGCTATGCGCTTCACAATGTCGCAAACAAAATGTAAAATTGTGCTGTATATATATTTACATACATGTAGGTATGTATATAAACTTGTAAATGGTTAGCATAAAAATGAATAAAAGCCTGGCAGAGGCCTTGGTGCTGCTATTGTGCATTTTTATCACAAAAGCTAGTGAAGCCATGTGGCCATAACATATGTATATAAGTGAACGTGCAAATACATATTAATCATTGCCGCCGTCATATGAAATATGAAATAGTAAATAGTGGCAGCACAGGTTATCGATAGCGTTATGTTTTAAAGTAATCTCTGCTTAAACGAAAAGAGTAGCGATAAATTTGTAGTACAGTGTTGAAGCGTTTAAGAGTGTAGTGAGGTGTTGAAGGATGTAAAAGTCGATTTTATTATTATATACATTGGATCTATAATCATATTCGTGCCTTTTTCTTCACAGTTTGATCCTTTATTTTATAATAATGTAAGCAATGGTGGTTTTCGAAGTTTTGTATTTTTCGATTTCATTCTTAAAAAAACTTGATACCGGTTTTAATTTGAAGAGTATTCTAGTTAGACTGTTATGTATCGGCCAAAAGATATGATAGTCAAAGGTGGCAGGGTCTGTGTTATAAGGCAGGTCAAATCAAACTTCCAAGCCGCTGGTTTCCATGTATTTTATAACCGGTCTTGCAACGTAAAAACATCAAACGTTGTCATGATAAGAAATTATTACATCGTATTTAGTCGCAACTTTGGGATTTTTTCGACAATTTCATCATTAGTCGCATGTCCATGCAAAAACGACACTGTTTTGTAGCGCTCGCCAATTATGACAAGCCAAATCCTCTCTCAAGATCTCGTGACTTCAATCAATACATCTAATTATGTCCTTGCATTGGTATGTATCTGACTGGTTCGAAACGTTAGGCTGTTTGATTGACTCTCAAATATTCTTCGAGCTCTGCTTAGCAACAATGTGTCCAGGTCCCCATCTTTAAACTTTTTGGCTGTCCATGACGTTATTGATCTTCTACTCTAAAATCATCGCTTTTAAATCCTGCAAATCACTTTTGGCATGATAGCCTATCTATAGCATCCCATAAACATTCACCAAAGCAAGTTGCTTTTCCATTAGGGTTTCTTTATCTTATAGTAATAAAAAAGAACTATCCACGAAAAAGACTTTTCCAGGCACAAAGTTCGAAGTATTTGAGTGAAAAAAGTTGCTGTTGTTTACACTTCGAATGAAAGATGATCGGAATATTGGAATAGTGATGAAGTTACTGTCACTCCGCACGTATATAGTTGTAGGCAATATTATATATGTTTGTAGGTGTAATGGCCATCGATTTCGATATTATTGAGTATAAGATTATCCACAAATTTTATAAACTTTTAGACTGCATTGCCCTCTTTGGGTTGGTTTGGCGGTAAGTGCGAGTTTTTAAGATAAGGTGTTACAAATCATATGGATTTTATCTTGGCATCCCTAAATTGAGACGATAGTTTGCAGCCCGCAAATTAGTATGTAGATTTCTTATACAAGAAAACCAGTAACCTCGTTAGAATATGTGATGTTTTTTCAAGTTGTGTTACACCACTAAAGATCCACAGACTCAGGAAATTTCAAGATTTGAGTATTTGTTCGATACTTGTGACCTTTCGAGAACATACAAGTATAACTAAAGAGAATGAATATTGATCAAATACTGGTTGAATAATTTAAATATTAAATTAAAATCAACTTTTATTGAAATTGATTTCTTATTATCTTGTTAATCTGTCTTCTGTAATCACTTGTTAAGCTTTCTTTCATAAGTATAGAATTCACTTGATATTTTCATAGGTGAGCAGTAACACCTATCTTATTTCGATGTTGAACATTATACATACAAGATTTACGTGGGGTGTCGGTGTGTCGCGTTCATGTTTTATATAGTATTTTATCGAATGATTATCTATTTTACTACTTCTAAGGCTGGTTAACTAGTCTGTATGTGACTTTACCGTTATTAAATCAATGAAACATAATTTTGGAAAGATAATTTAATTTTTATTGCAAGATGATAATTATCGTGATCACAGCGCTATCCAACTGAAATTAGAAAAAAAAAAACCTGGAACTGTTTTGTCGTTCTAGATCTTTAACTGGATCTAACGAAAAATATTATATGAAAGGTATTAGATGTGATCCACAAAATATGTTTGAATAGAAACTAAAACAAAAATTATTTCGAGTGACGGAATATGTTATATGCCTCAATCTTGCTTTGATGGTTTATTAAGAACGGCATATTCTAAGAAATTTTGACAAAACAACCTATTTGACTTCAAAAGATTTTCCTTTGAGTTTTATCTTTCGTCGACAGATGAAATATTTTATATAAAGTTTTAGGAGAATGGTTCTTCAAAGTATATATTAGTATATTTTAATTAAGTTAAGAGGCCAAACAAAGTAGAATTAAATTGTTTTGTTAGATTTCCACTCAACTGTATAAACAACTTCACTGAACAACAATCAGCGCTCTAGAAATTCCCAACTGGTTTTGCATTATTCAATATATTCCTACAAGTCCCCTACAATTCATTTTCATTATTTAACGTGAATTTCTCGAGTAACTTTCGAAGAAGTTGTTGCATTTTTAGCTCAAAAGCTTCTTGAATGCATAATTCTTTTCTTTAGAATAAGAAACAAATCACGTGAAAATTTCCGCAAAGACTAAGGCTTATACTCTCCACTTCTTCTCTCTTTATTTGCAGATTAAGGCAGAGAACACTTGAGAGCATAGCTAAGCGGGTTGACAACTCCGCCAAATTCGACATCGAGCGCGACAAGAGGACTACTTTCCATAAAAGTTTCGGACAAACTGCCAATAAAGTGGAACTTTTTTCCTTCAACACCCATACACAGTTATATACACAGGGACACACATACACAACGAATACACAGTGAATGAAGTGAACTACTCAGACTGGTTATAGTTGATCAATCGTTGAATGCTTTGTGGCAAGTGAATGAAAGTTGAAGAAAAAGAAGAAGGGAAAGAATTTGCAGAAATCGTGCAACATTTGAAGTAATTAAAATTTAGTTCCAAAAGTAAAATCTGCAAAGTGCACCCAAAAAGTAAGCAAAAAAAGAAAAAGTGACGAAAGTTTACAGTTGCAATAATAAAAACTACAAAAGCAACTAATCGATAATCGAAAAGTAAGTTAGAGAAAAATAGCAAATAAAGAAAAGTGCAAAACCAAGTTGCAACAAAGGGCGCGTGCATGCAACATTCCGGCCGCGTGTGGCAGCGGCTCTGCTGTGGCACAGAGCAAACGAATAATTAATTCAATGCACTTAAAATTGCAGTTTTCAACTTGAGAAACGACGAGAAAATCGCATTTAGCCCAAAACTACCGATATACTGACAACAGCAACAATAACGACAACAAGCAGAACAGAAATAATAATCACAGTGAACGAGTGGCAACACAAAACTAAACTAAAAGTGAAATAAGAAACCAAAAAAGCTAAAGAACGGAAGCGGAGAGAGCCGAGAGTAGCGAAAAGCGTGGCAAAGTTAGCGTGACAAAGTTTCATTTGTTGGCAAATTGAAGCGGCGTGCAGCCTGCTCGACAGCAAGTGAGCGCCAATTGGAGCGGAGGAGGGCAGAGGGGTGAGTGAGCGAGCGACCGCCTGCTGTGTGAACAACAAAAATGACGTGCGCCGCTCATAGACTAAACTGCATAAATTCACAAATACAACAACAGGAACAACAACAAAGAGTTGGACAACTGACAGCATCCACTAGCGGTTGCAACAACGATAGCGGCAACGGCAGCGAAAAATACGCAAAAGTTAAAAATTGCAAATTGATGTCGACGCAACAGCGTGCCACACGCGCACACGCCATACCCCACCACGGCCAACACCAACAGCAGCAGCAACAATCACAACAAAAACAACTACAGCAGCAACAAGAATTGCGCGCAGCTGACATAAATTGTAACGGTGCTAGTGGCTGCAACACCGCAAAATTGCTTGCAGCACAAAAAGAACAGAAACAGCAAGAAAAACAAAAACACAACTCCACCACCTCCAAAATGTATGACAACAACAACTTGCAACACTCGCTTGAAGAAGTGGAAAAGCGAAAGGCAGCCACCAAACGCGTCGTTGCCACCAACAGCACCACCGCCACCACGACCACTTTTACCACAAATGTAAATAGCGTCCAATCACGGCGGCATCAGTTGCAACGGCATCAACAGCTCACTCCGGTGTGCATGCCGTTAGGTGAGCGCAATAGTTGCAGCAACAATAGTAGCAACATCATCACAGCAGCACGAATGCATAAGAGTTGCAACAACAATAACAGACAGCAACAGCGGCAGCGGCAGCTAATGAAACAACAACCGAAAACTTATTACCGTTATACAAAATCCTTCGCCGGTTACACACGTCTCTTCAGCGTCCTGTTGCTGTTCGCCTTGCAGCATGTTCCAAGCGGTAAGTGATGCTTGCATTATATATGCAAGAGCTTTCAGCTAAACTTTTGCCAGATTTATTTTATGTGACACCTGGCATCCTAATGTTGCCGACTGGAAATATCCGAAAAATAATAACCACTTCATTCGTTAGAGATACGCTCTGTCAATGAACAGCTGTTACCAAATCTTTTTTCAGCTGTTTTTCACAGCTGCGAGGCTTGACTCCTTATATGTATGTTATTTCCTTCAATAAACGGACCTAAAAATATTATTCCAATATATTGTATCTAAGGCTCTGAAATGCACATACTTATAACTTGAGTAATACTTTCCACTTCAAACTTTTGAATATTCGTAAGGCAGATTATTTACCACGCCATATTCATAGAAAGTAATACTTTAATAACATCTGTTTACATTAATTTTTCGACTGCAATATTATAAGTGGCTATAAGCATCTGGGGTGTCCAAGACATGATACACTGGAGAAGGTATCGATAGCGAGGTCCCAAAGTCTGTTAAAAATCGCGTCAAGCGCAAGGATGACTACTTCTCTTACACCAAGGAACTGAACTCCATCTAGTATCGTTCCGTACCAAAACTGGTGTATGCATGACATATTGGCAGTTTAATCTAACCTAGCCTAATCTAATATTATAGGCTACATCTTACTAAATTTCGTTTCCTAACACGTAAGATTTTATGTGTTGTAGTAAAGGAGTGTGGGGTCAACCACTATAATTTACTAAAATTACAGAAATAGCTGGAAATGATGGTAAATTTTTGTACTCAAATTCGTTATCAAAACACCTCAAACACCGTACAGATTTCTTATCACATAATAATACATTTTTCTTTTAACATTTTTGTGCGGTGTAATTAAATAACCCTTCGTAAAATTTTACCTATTCTAATTTCAGTTCACCACCCTATAGTTTTATTAACTAATCACATCAAACAAAAATCTACAATATCGATTCAATAAGCAAACACAATGATTGTTAAATAATACATTCGGAGTAGAAAAAGATCTCTAACTAAAAGTACTAGCTTATATTTTCGATTGGTTCCTTATGATAAAATTTATCCAGAACACACACTAGCTATAGTGGGTCATAAGTTACAATAGTCTTGTCACTTTATCACATTGTAGTCTACACTTAATATTTAAGATTTGATCACATAATCCATCCATAGAGTAGGTAAAGATCTCTAAATCTCTGCCTAAATCGACTAACTTATATTTTCAATTGATTCAGTACGATAGATTTTATCCAGGACTCATACCAGCGATATTTACTTTACATTAATTTCAATAGGACAGCAGACCATAAAATTATCCATAGTAGCAAATGTGAAAAGTAAATACGAGCGTTTAATATTTCAGGATCAGTTAATAAAAACAAATATTAATCATCGAAAACCGTTTTATGTTTTTGCTAAATATTCTGCATGAAGAGCTATATACTTTTTCATTCGCCTAAATCAGTAATCCAAAGACTTTTGCCACTCTGATTGAGTTAGAAGCATAGAGAAGCATGTGTTCTGAACGCAACAACTGTCTTTTCAGGTGTCGGGAAATGTTGCCTTCTTGTTATATTTTTTACGCATCGGAATAAAACGAAATCACTCGGCGCAAAGTTAGAACTATACTTTGGATGACCCGTCAAATCGAGATTTTGAGTGCTAAAAAATGCGGTTGTTTCAGTCGTTAGGTAGTAGGTTTTTCTGAATTCTTAGAATATAACTGGCAAGCAATTAATTGGGTAGAATTGACTATCCTCTGATCATGGGGTCCTTATAATGGTCATTATGTCACAAAGTTTCGAAGCAGTCCTACAGTATTATTCAAAACATTTTTTTCGACCAATCGAAACGAGCCTTTTTTGTTTCCATCGCCATCGCAGTCGGGTCTAAGTGATCGGATCAAGTAATTTTTATTCGGCCAGGCACTGTCAAGTCGGCACCATGCCTCGAAACTGAAACAATAGCAGCCATGTTTGAGCGCCTGTTTTGAAAAATTTTTTTTAAGTCAAATATTAATGCAATATTTGAGGTACTCACAACGTGTCATAAAGCATCGTAAAATCATAAAATCATAATTTTTTTTACTAGTTTAAAAAATTTGTTGTTGGGCTGCTTACTAAAATAAGTTTACGCAAACCCTGAACGCTATGTTTTCGGATCGTTATAACTTATAACTTTATGAGACTATGTGAAACCACTAATTGAATATATAGTATGCTGGTCCCACTAATGTCTATAGTTGTCTCAATCTTACGGTGGATCACGTGACAATCTTGGATAATCAGTTTGCGCTCAGTGGCAATAGTATAGAGAATAACAACTGATTTTGGACGATCTGCACAAAATTCGTCTTGGAGTGTAGACCAAAACTTCATTTTTATATGAACAATAAAACTAAATTTATAATTCTTCCTCCTTAACTTATATTTGCTATTGCATATTCAATAGTCTATGACCCAAATGCAATGAAAACTCAGAAATATGTTAGCATGTTTGCGAAAGTAATCGTTAATAGAGTCTTCATATATACTTCAAAACCTTTATCTCACTCCGCTGACACCCCATTGTGTATGAGACTTATGACAGAAGTCTAACTGCCAGTCTTGTAAGTCTCACGCAAAGTCGAACAGTGACAAAACATTTTCCATTAAAATTAATATTGCAAAGGCAATCTCTAGTTCGCTTCCAGACGCGCTTATTCTTCCCACAAACAAACTGCCTTGCCAACGTCTGCCGACGGCGTTCATTTGCAGTTTGTCAACTATGAGTGACCGCGCGAACGGCGCATCATCCAGGAAATGATATTGTGGTTTGGCAAAAGTTGTGCGTCTTTTTTTTTTTTTTTTTGCGAAAAATGAATGCTTTGCGAAGCTGATGTTGCCACAAAAGGAAGTTGCAACATTTATTTCCATATTTCGCGTGTTTAGCCGGCTTGCAACAATACAGCCGATGCAAGTGTTTGTTGTTTGAATGTGTAATAAAGGTCGACCGCTGCACGCGCTGCAAGCAGTGTCTGTTGCTAACGGCATTGTAAAATTTATTTGTGGTTCATTATGCACTCTTGCAAGATTAGGAGTATTCGCGTTGAAGCCGTAACTGTTATTGTGCCGGCGGAGGTTCGTCAGCTCTAGCGCTCGTGGCGCAAAGACACACAAAGACACAATGTGGCTCTTAGACGCATTGTGGCCGAGTTAGTGCACAGTGACTGCTCGGACGGAGCGCGAAACTCAAAATATCCAGGAGTTGTTTTAGTTTTTGTTGCGCTTGTTAGCAATATTGCGTTTATCGTTGTGTAAGTTCAATGCCAGCGCTTGTTAGCGATTGGATAGGACGCGGCAAGACGTTTGCTGGGCGGCATGTTAATGTGACCGCAAGCAGCCAACCGTCCGTCGAGCTCACCAAATTCCTAGCTGCCTAGTCGCGTTGCCAAGTTGATTGATATTAAAGTGGTTGCCGCGTTGCTTTTTCTCGCAATCTATTCAAATCGTCATCACTGCTGTTCGGTTAGTGCCGCAAACTTTCTTTCCTATTTCATGCACTCCAGTCTGTTGCTGAATATTCATGGACGAAATACGCAGAGAAATAAATTACTTGCTTCACAATACAAAGTATTGCCGGCAGTTTTCGCAAAGCCGCAAGTACAAAACCGCCAATGCTTAGCCGAGGCAGTAGTATTGAAATTTGTCCGTACTCTTTTTTCGCTTGCTGCGCATCCTTTTTTCTTAGCAAACCCACATCGCTTCTCATTTTTATTGCATTTTCACTTGAGCCGCAGGCAGCGACGTTAGTATTATATTTGCGGCGACGGCGGCGGCAGTGGCGCGTGCTTTAAATTCATCGGCATGCTGACGCGGCGCTCGAGAGAGTATGCATACCAGCCAGCGAGCGGACATTCGAAGACAGCAAATTTTATTTTAATTATTGCGCCATCCCCACTTCATTTCTGTCAGTTAGTTCGCCATATAAGTGTCAGAAAAGTTGGTGCTCAAAGCCGGCGCTATGCTACTAGCTCAAGCGGCGCGGCGCGGCGCGGAGCGAAATTGGGGGTAGTTGCGTCGATTAATTCTGAGTGTAGCTGAACTGAGCGCATGCCAGCGCTTCAACTTTGTTAGCGCACTAATGCCTGCTGCATATTCAAGGCTGCTGTTTCTAACGCTGTGTACAACAACTAAAGCTAGCAGCTGTGCGCTGCCAACTCAGCGCCTTTATTATACCACTCGTTCCGATTTGAGCGTCCTTAAAGCACTTGACGCTTTCGCTGTTTGTTACAGAGTCTACAGTCAGCGACCTCGGCGCTCGGTGCTCGGCTTAGCGGCTCTGCAGCCTCAAAGTGTTTGGAGTTTATACGCTGGCGGCTGCCAGCTGCTCGCCGGCTGCGGTTTCCCAACAGCTTTACATCGAAATGACCGCATAAAAATAAAAAGCAATTAGTAAAATTAATTGCTCAAGTTTCGCTTTGAAATATTCAAACTGCCGGATTAATTTACTGCAGTGCCGGCACAAAGCCGCAGCACATACCCACCGCCAGCCAATGGCTTAGCAAGTTGGCGAGTGCGGACGACAATGCGGTTGTGGCATTTTGTGGTTTTATATGCGCGCTTTTGATGCGAGAAATATTTTCACGTCTTTAGTGCGTCGCTTCCTTTTTCATTCACGACTTCTATAAATACTTCAGATGCCCACTTTACTTAGTGAGAAAAGTGTGTGACACAAAAGGAGGAAAAAATTGCAGCAGTCGTACGCTTAGTGTGCGTGTGTGTGTAATGGTTGCAAAAGCTTCTGGTTGTTGGCGAAAGTTTGTTGGAAATTTAATAAAGATGTCGAGCTGATGCTTTGAAATCTTTGATAAGCAGATACATTTCATTGAGTGGCAGTTAAATCCTTGCTGATATTTGACAGGGAAATTCAGTTTTAAATCTAGATATTCGTGGGTAAGGTCCTTTGTCTTTTTGCGTAAAAAAGCGAGTGCTTTGCGAAAGCTTCACAAAGCTA